GGACAAAAACTTCAAGTGTTCTTGTTGCTGCAAAGAAGATTACATTTTACTTAAAAATTCTTCCAAGTATAAACCCAGGTTAATGGAACATACTTCTTCAGCATTTAATGATCACTCACAACTTGCATTTCTCCTGTTTTGACTTTCATAGTACTTAACATTAAAAACCACTTAGTTACAGTGTGCGAGAGTTTTGTGTGTTAGAATGGGTCAAGTTTGTACAGTCACTTGACCCATTCTAACCCAGAAAAGTTAATCGTAACATTTCTTTGTGAACTTACTCACAACTTGCATTTCTCCTGTTTTGACTTTCATAGTACTTAACATTAAAAACCACTTAGTTACAGTGTGCGAGAGTTTTGTGTGTTAGAATGGGTCAAGTTTGTACAGTCACTTGACCCATTCTAACCCAGAAAAGTTAATCGTAACATTTCTTTGTGAACTTACTCACAACTTGCATTTCTCCTGTTTTGACAGTACTTAACATTAAAAACCACTTAGTTACAGTGTGCGAGAGTTTTGTGTGTTAGAATGGGTCAAGTTTGTACAGTCACTTGACCCATTCTAACCCAGAAAAGTTAATCGTAACATTTCTTTGAGAACTTTTTTCTTCATCAAAACATGAAATTCGGTGATTAAAAGATGATTTAGAAGCCTAATCTATCTTGGATTTCACTACATGATCTTTTCTTCACTGAAATTCACATTTTGGTGAGGAAAACAAATTCACAAATAAATAAATAACCAATTAGTCATCTGAATAACAACAAATAATTAGTTGTGACAGTATGTCATGTTATCCAAACTCCTAAAGTATTTTAGGTTATTAGTAATGAGTAAAGAAATATACATTGAAACGAAACAAATTAATTATACCATGTGAGAATAGTAAATTCATACTGTCACCAGACTAAGTTTGGCAAACACAATTAAACACATGTGAATGGTAAGCTTGTACTGTCACCTGGCCAAGTTTGACAAACACAACTTACGTACAACACATGTGAATGGTAAGTTTGTAATGTCACCTGATCAAGTTAGACAAACAAACTTAAGTACAACACATGTGAATGGTAAGCTTGTACTGTCATTTTAGAATTGATATCTCATCATCACGTAACATTTATTTATCATATTTCACACACAAAAAATTAAATTCTTTCATTTCTGCACAGCCCCCAAGGAGTCTCACTCGTAAACATTGCAATTATCAATTAATTTATCATCTTAATGCACGTCTAAAGTTACAGATTTATATTTGCTAAAAAATATCATCGTTTATAAATATAATAATTCATGTCTTGTTTTGCACACGATTTTACTTCATGGTCAGTGTTTTTATTATAACATCTCTTTGTTACCACCCTATTATGTTACAACACGTGGTCTGAGCAACTACTAATTAAACTCAGCTTTGACAATAGATGGAGCCAATGGCAAAACATACTGGATTGAAGAGATGCTGATCTATATGTACTTCAAAATACAGTAATTAATGGTCATAGAAGTAATTTGTAGTTTGTAAACATATTAGCTACCTGGAGCACTTGAATGGCAAACATAAGATTCTAACGCAAAGTTTAAAACACATAGGAATGACAATTTTGATGAAAGAGTTAGCACAAAAGATCACATTTAAAGTGTAATAAACTTAAAATAAGACCCAAATAGTTGACTATTCTTCTTCGGGAGAACAAAGGAAGATGAAGAAGAACAGTCAACTAATCGAAAGAGCTTGAGTTTTGGTTCTTATTTTAAGTTTATTACACTTAGGAATGAAATGCAGATGTGAAATTTTTTTTCAATTTATTTTGACATTCATCTTGTTCCTGATAATGTTCTTGTATTAATTAATACGTGTTTGAAAGCTACAGGAATATTCTTCTACAACAAGATGTCAGGTAAGTTAAGTTTACTGAGTATGGTAAGCAACAGAAAACTTTTTTACGGATGTTCAAAAAACACATACAAATAAATAAACGTATTGAACT